ACTGCACCCCGCAGCCTCCGCCCACAACCCCCCCCCCCCAACACTTCCACAGAACTACATCAAAGACCAAAACACACAATCTGATCTCTGTGCCGCCCCTCGGGGTGAAGCCTTTAGGCAACTGCCAATCTGAACATTCTGCTGCAATAAAGGCCAAAAGAAAAGGAACAGAGAAACACGACATCACCACAAGACGAAGCCTCATGACCGTCATACAAGACGCCCGGGGCCCCCCCTCCCCTCCCCCACCTGACTGACACGGGGGAAATATCACACATGGAGATAGCGAGCAATGTGTCATGTGACCTCCGGAATTATAAACCGACTAAAACTGCGTTCAACTGATAACACAACCGAATGTCTATAAAGCCTGACATCACCGAGCGCAGCCTATCCCTTCACTACAGAGCGGTGACATCACCGAGAGCGCAGCCTAGAGAGCGGTGACATCACCGAGAGCGCAGCCTATCCAATCACTAGAGACCGGTGACATCACTGAGAGCGCAGCCTCTTATACACGGTTAAACTGTAGAACAGTCAGTACTGGTTCAGACACTTCCTGTTATAGGGTGACAACACTCTGTTCCTGTCTCACAACTGCTCTCTTGCGTTGTCACAGGGGCTTCCAATGGTGACTACACATTATAAGACATCTCACCACAAGGAAACCCGTCCCAGGAAATGCCACGCAGCCATCACTGGAGTCATGTAGACAGGAAGTGGCCGCTAAGAGGCCGCAGGAGATCAGCAGCACCGAGATGGAACAAAGGATGAAAGGGGAAAAAAGGTGGAAAACAAGTTTTTGGACATCACTGGACAATCATGACACGGGGGCGGTCAGACGTGGACAGCGAGGTGAACGTTGGATGACCCCCGCACGCGGCTCTAGAAAGGCCGAGGGACGAGGCTGGTGAAAGGGCTGCCGCCCTCCCCTCCGAAAATCCTTTGTGAGCCGAAAATCCCATCCAGCATTGTCTGCCCATCACAAGCCTCGCATCCCCGAGGACCACGGCACAGCCTGGCAGAGCCGAGCATCAGAGGTCACCGCGCATCCCCGAGGACCACGGCACAGCCTGGCAGAGCCGAGCATCAGAGGTCACCGCGCATCCCCGAGGACCACGGCACAGCCTGGCAGAGCCGAGCATCAGAGGTCACCGCGCATCCCCGAGGACCACGGCACAGCCTGGCAGAGCCGAGCATCAGAGGTCACCGCGCATCCCCGAGGACCACGGCACAGCCTGGCAGAGCCGAGCATCAGAGGTCACCGCGCATCCCCGAGGACCACGGCACAGCCTGGCAGAGCCGAGCATCAGAGGTCACCGCGCATCCCCGAGGACCACGGCACAGCCTGGCAGAGCCGAGCATCAGAGGTCACCGCGCATCCCCGAGGACCACGGCACAGCCTGGCAGAGCCGAGCATCAGAGGTCACCGCGCATCCCCGAGGACCACGGCACAGCCTGGCAGAGCCGAGCATCAGAGGTCACCGCGCATCCCCGAGGACCACGGCACAGCCTGGCAGAGCCGAGCATCAGAGGTCACCGCGCATCCCCGAGGACCACGGCACAGCCTGGCAGAGCCGAGCATCAGAGGTCACCGCGCATCCCCGAGGACCACGGCACAGCCTGGCAGAGCCGAGCATCAGAGGTCACCGCGCATCCCCGAGGACCACGGCACAGCCTGGCAGAGCCGAGCATCAGAGGTCACCGCGCATCCCCGAGGACCACGGCACAGCCTGGCAGAGCCGAGCATCAGAGGTCACCGCGCATCCCCGAGGACCACAGCACAGCCTGGCAGAGCCGAGCATCAGAGGTCACCACGCATCCCGGGTCAGGTATCTCCGCATGTGTGACTGGGAAACTTACACTTGGTTCATTGTATTTGGGGGGGGGGACGACTACAACTCTCATCAAGTCCTGGTAGCTGGCAGACCACTGAGACTTGTAGAGCTGCAGACAGTCAG